CTAAGTTTGTTGTTGCTGTTGTTGTTGGTGGTGGTGGTGTTTTGGTTTTTAGAGACAGGGTTTCTCTATGTATCCCTGTCTGTCCGGGAACTAGCTCTATAGATCAGGCTGGCCTCAAACTCACAGAGATCCACCTGCCTCTGCCTCCCAAGTGCTGCGATTAAAGGTGTGTGCCAACACTGCCCACCTACCTAAATATTTTTCAATTCAACATTTTCTTCCTATCTCTACTGTGACGCTATTAGTTCAGTGCCTTGTAATCTCTTCCAAAAAACAGAATCATACCACATTTTCCTATATTTAATAGGCTTCTACTTAAACAATGCTTCTAAAATAGCCTTAAAAGCAAGTCTTAAGACCTTATATCTCCCTGTGATCTACAGAATGTCTCTTTCCCCTGCAATACAAAGCATAAATATGTATACATTGTATATGCATATAAAATATTCACATATGTTTATAAAATATACATGTGTGATATATACATCTTTATTTACTATATATAATTTAAGCCAAAGTCTTGCTTGTTTCTGGACCTTATCCTCACATTCCTTATCCTAGAAACACTGAACCACTTGTAATTCTCAGCACGTGCCCGTGTTCTTGCTGATGTCATTGGCTCTCTATGAATTGCCTTCCTCGACAAAGTGCTATCCTTTCCATAGCTAAGCGCTGCTTGGCTCAGTCCAGGTGTGAGCAGTTGATGACATGTTTCTCCCCTTGAAATCCAAGATAGAGTTGGCATTGTGGGTATTTGACTACTGTTAGTTTGCTTTCTGTTTCTGTGATAGACAAAAGCAAGTTCAAGAGGACAGGATTTACTTCAGCTTACTGTTCCATCCATCACTGAAGAAAGGCAAGGGAGGAAGTCAAGCAAAGTGCTTGAAATAGGAAACACCAGAGGGAGGCTTCTTACTGAGCTTGCTCCCTGGCTTGCTCAGTGATCTTTCTTATACAAATTAGGTCCACCTGCCCAGGTATTGCACTGCTCAGTGTGGACTTAGCCCTTTTGCACTAATTAGCAATTAAGGTAATGCCACACAGCTATGCCCAGAGATCTGTCTAATGGTGGTAATTGTTCAGTTGAAATTCCCTCTTCTGTGCCTGTTAAGTTCAGAACCACGATTATCCATCAGTACTGCCATCCTCACATTTCACAGACCACTTGTTTAGCTTTCGGGTTCATCAATTCCTCGTCACTCGACTTTAATCCTTTTATTTACAGCATTAATTATGACAGATAATTAGTTAGTTCCTTGCTCTCTATAGATGCCAAAATTAAAATTCATGTCATCCAAACCTTTAAACCTAAAATGAACAGTATGTTTTCCTATTTTAGGACACTATCCTTTAAATATCATATGCATATGCACACACACAAACATATATTGATACTTGCACACTTACAATGCTTATTAAGCCCATTTTAGATATGTATTCTTGAGCCTTGAATCTGAATGCTGGGTCAATAATTTAAAAAAATGGCAAAGCAACAGTATGAACAATATTGCCTAAATCTGACTATTTATGTTACTATATTTTTCTTGATTGAGAAAGAACCTCAGAATGTATTTCTCTTTATATGTAGATCCTCAAGACTCTTTTTTTTTTACTTATTTCTGGTGTCTTAGGAAGTGGGATCTTGTGATCAGACTTCCGTAACTCTGTTCCATCTGCAGTGACGGGTCTTTCAGACACTTCCTGTGCACAGAATGCAATCCGATTCTTTTCTTTTGCTGACTTGCAGCAAAGCCTTTCAGGGTGATGATTTCCACATGGTCAGACTTTATCAGTATAAACTACATCACCTGTGCTTGTAATACAATTTTTTTTGACTAGGAATACAGCCAGCAGTTTGATTCCAGTCTATTCAAAATTACCACTAGCCCTCTCACCACACATGAAAAATTTCACTATGAAAATTATTTGCATTGCATAATATGACTATAAAAATCTGAAGACTTGACAAACATTTAAATTCTTTAAATAGTTTATGAAAATTTACTTTAAAAATTAAAAGAAAATTGTTATTTAAATAAAGGTGGACTAAGGTATAGATTACCAAATTTATATATAACTCTTATTTGCAGCTTTCACACTAAGAAGTTATATTTAAATATTATTACATGCTAAAAGGAACAGCACCAATCTATCACTGAAACAATTAATGAGGAAAATAATATTTTATGATTTCTTTTCTTTTTGTATGGTATTTTGCAGCTGAAAAAATGTTTAAGGTACATAGTTTCCAGGAATGAACAGCAGAGGGCAGAAAAGAGCAACTTGGTCCTTGGAGCTTACTGCTCTACTTAACTTTCTTGCAATATTTAAAATGGATTTCAATATTGATAAGTTTAAGTTAAGTAATCAAAAACACAAAGCATTGTGACTTTAAAGGTGAATCTTAGAATATGAAAATGAAACATCAGTATTTTTCCATTTATTTGTATAACTATTTATTCCATTCGGTTTAACTTCATTGTACTATTAGCATTCTGTGGTGAAAAGCAATATTTACTACCTAATGTGCTGTATGGAAAAGCTTCATGGAAGATCATTTAAATATAATTATGCTGTATTTTAGTAGGAAATGTTTGTAGGTGTGTGAAGGTCAGCTGTTTACCTAAATTATGAACACAGATTACTACAGTTTCTATTGAATTACAAATAATGGCTGGTAAAATTTTATAGATCGTATTTAAAATTGCAGCTTATTACCAGAAGGTAATATTTGCTACAGTTGTGCATATTTCCTGGGGAGGATGTACTACGATTCAGCAAATCCGTGATATAGAATATAATCCAGTCAACTTTGAGTTCCTATCTGCCCTTGAGTTTCAAAGAGGTTAAGATAAAAGCAGTTTTTGAAAAGCCTTTTCTTTTTAATTTTAATTTGCTTCAGAGACACGTGACATATCGCAATCCCCTCCCCCCCCCCACCGCACACTTCAGCTGTGTTCCCGTTATTTCCAACTCCCATTCCACCATTCCAAAGCACTTTGGATGAGACTCAAGATGTTTTGGTGGAAAATATTGAATGGCAAGCAAAAGAAGAATGTGACTGAAGAGATTCTTTATTTGCTCTATCTCTTGACACGCTCCTCTAGTTTATAAACGTCAAACAACTCCTGTGTTTGGCACTGGAAGTAGAAATGAAAGCGTGTATGAAATTTTATTTTTCTTTATGTAACACGTTGGGATAGTTATAATTTTTGTTCTGCCTACAAGTTTATTCTCATTGACTTTCTCTTATGCTTCATCTCTTTTTATTCAGAGGACTGACTTAATATTTTCATGGAGTTTTTGATTCACATGTGAAAGAAATTGTTGTTTACAGAAAGATGGTATTTTCACCTATGGTATGGAAGCTCAGTAAATTTTATATACGTTCCACACTTTTGCCTTAGGAACACATACACACAGAAGGAGAGAGACAGACAGATGAAGACACAAAGAGACAGAGCGGCCGAGAAAGAGTGAGAACAAGAGAGAGAGTGGGAGAGATCATAATGAAATCACAAGCTTACAGGGTTTAAAGGGCCGCAGGGATCACCGTGCTTCTTGCTTTCATTCATCCCTTCTCATTTTTATGCTGGCGATGTGTCTTTTATTAAAAATATATTTTAATAAATGGAAAATTTGAAGTCCAGTGTGATCAAGGGAAAAGTGTGCATTAATGCGGTCAGGGAATACCACCGTGTGTGATATTAAAGTCACATTTTGTCTACAAGATCTATCCGCGAAGAACTCTCATGCACTTTGGACCATCGGTGGACTCCTCCTCCGATGTTGTCGGCTGCAGTCTCCTGGCAACAGTATTTTCGAAGTGAGTCTTTACTTCTCTATGTAAAACAGAACACATACAATTTGTTCAATTCCTGAGGCAGCAGACAGACTTGTGAGCAGCAGGTACATAGGAGATGGCTTGGCACGCAGTAGGATCTTGATCATGAATTTCACAGGCGTATACAATCTCCAGTACTCTCTACCGATCTCCTTCCCACAAACTTTAATTTCTAGCCTGTTCTTTATTTCCCAGCGGCTCAAGCAGGCTTGCTGTAGTGAGGTAACCTCTTTTCATGATGTAATGCTTACCTTTTTAACTTAAACCCAAAACGTGATGGGGTATCCTCTGTGGAACTAAGTGTCTGGAAAGGTTTTGCAGCCTCGCAGTCTTTCTAGACTAGCTTCGTCTATTTTTTTCCCCTCCCAGGAAACTACGATTCCTTTCAATCCATATAAAGAAAGGACATCTAAGAACCAAGTCTACATGACCCTACAGTAGGAGGGAGTCAGCACTGAAGTACAAGAGCAATCCCCAGGCAGTGTGGCTTGAACAAATCATACCACAACCCCAAAGGACATACTCCAAAGATATGTTTCCACACAAAATCCTTCAAAGGTTCAATCCAGATACATTTTTTTTCATCTCTTATAGTTAAGGATAGAATTTGGGGTTTCCCCAGGATTATGTCTACATCATATAAAGCTAAAGTTCACAATTTTGGCAATCTTCTCTTAGGGGAGTATTTCCTTTGCCTCTTAGCTGGATCGGGTAACGCAGAAGACAGTGTGTCGATATCGCTAAGTGGATTTTCAGGCGATCAAATCATAATCGTTTTGTTTAATGTAAAACAACAGGGCCCGACGGAAGAAAGCGCCACCGCCAACAGCAATTAGCAGTTCGGTTTCCTAGGCATAGCAACCGGAAATCAGTTTTGCAGCCTTTGGATCTGGCTGGAGCTTCTCTGCAGCTACCGAAAGCCCTGCAACCTCAGCCCCAAGGCGCAGACAGAAGCGCTGTCCTCGGTGCTAAAATTCAGATGCGCAAGACTGGAGGTCTCTAAGAGACACCAGGCTGCCCTGTTTTGAGCCGCGCTTTCACGGCAGGCACCTCGCAGGAGCTGCCAGGGCTGTGCGGGGTGCGGGGCATTGTGCGGGGGAGGGGTGGGTGCGCGATCCCGCCGCCTGCCACGAGTCGCGCACGCGCGCCGGGGACTGCCTGCTCCTCTCTGTGACTTTCCTGTGTGTGTGTGTGCGTGTGTGTGTGTATGTGTGTGTGTATGTGTGTGTATGTGTGCGCGCGCGCGTGTGAGAGAGAGAAGGAGAAGAGAGCTCGAAAGAGGGTGATTGTGTGAGCGCATGGGAGGGTGCTGAATATTCCCAGACACCGGGACCACAGCGGCAGCTCAGCTGAAAACTGCATTCAGCCAGTCCTCGGGACTTCAGGAGAGGGTACAGGACGCCAGGCATCAACAGCCACCAGCAAGACCCAGGAAATAAGGATTCTTCTGCCTCCACTTCGTGTTTTTAGCAGCTCCTTGCTCAATTTCGATCTCAAAATGCAGAGGATCTAATTTGTTAAGGAAAACGGCAAAAGAAGGAAAAGGAGAAAAAGGGAAAAGAGGGGGTATTTTGTGGATGCTCTACTTTTCTTGGAAATGCAAAAGATTATGCATATTTCTGTCCTCCTTTCTCCTGTTTTATGGGGACTGATTTTTGGTGTGTCTTCTAACAGCATACAGATAGGTAGGTACCTTTTTTGTTATGCCTTTGAATTGTGCATAATTTGTTGGTAATCTTTGTTCACAGTGGGCAAATTAATTCATGTCATGTAGACTTATGTCATACCTTGACTGCATTCCAGATTTAAACTACCTAGAATATACATGATTTTCTTAGGCTGAAGCAAAAAGAAATGATTATGCATTTGGACACAATAGAGGGAAAGATCTGCTCATTTCTGACCCCCGGACTGCGTTACTTCTGCCTTGAAGGCATCTTGTAGAGTGCTCAGATTTTCTGGGGGATACAAACGCAAAGCTTGCAATTAAGAAGAGGGAGAACATTTCTGGCCCTCAGACTCTCCTCCGTGTCTAGGCGCGTTGAACACCTTTTGGATGTCCAATGCTTGCTGCCCAACTCAGTGATTGTGTTGATCCCAGCGGGTAGCGTGAATAAAAGGCTCTAGGGTTGCTGGATGCTAGCGGCTCCACTCTTATCTCTCCAGGGCTCTGACATGGTTCTCTTGCTTGCTGTTTATTCTTTGCAGGGGGGCTATTTCCAAGGGGCGCTGATCAAGAATACAGTGCATTTCGGGTAGGGATGGTTCAGTTTTCCACTTCGGAGTTCAGACTGACACCCCATATCGACAATTTGGAGGTAGCCAACAGTTTCGCAGTCACCAATGCTTGTAAGTAATGAATATTCATGTATTTTCAGTGCTGCACAGGGAAAGCAAGCTACTGAATGCGAGTGTGGGATGGTGTGTGTGTGTGTGTGTGTGTATTGCTGGCATGTCATGTGTGGGTGGGAGTGACTGCACACGCGCGTGCGTGTGAGGGTGCAGAAAGAAGGTGACTGTAATCTTGGGGACCCCCACTGGCCGGCAGGCAGTGGAGAGGGGAAGAAAGGCACTGAACAGTGTACCAGTGTGCGCACTAAGAAGTTGGGTGGGGGTTGGACTCCTACCGGTCTTTCTCGGGTTTAGGGGGGGTTCTTGCTTGATTCTGGAGCCTCCAAAGAGACTCTCCCACCCCTTCTCTCTTGTGCGCCTATTGGCATCCTACCAACAGAGAACACGTTGTTCCCCAGGGCGTGCTGTGGGACTGTTGGACAGATCCCATGGGGGGACTGCCTTAGTTCTGTAGCCTGGCAGGGCAGCTCCGACCTGCAGTCTCCGTGAGCACCACGTCCTTCTATTGCATGGGACAAGTTGTTACAATGGTTGTGGAGTTGGGACCAGGGCTGTTACATAACGCCCACCCGAGGGGCGCGGGCACGAGGCTGACGCAGGCCCTGACTGGGTTGGTGTGAACAGGAGGGGAAGGGATGCTAAGCGGATAGGGACCCAGAAGGGATGAGGATGCAGGCAGTGGGGGATGAGGATGGTGATGGATGTCTGCCAGCTTGGGGGATACAAACCACAACCAGGTCGCCAGCAGAATGGGGATGAGGAAGGCGAGAACCAGAAGCTAGGTCCGTTCTCAACTCACTTAAGCTCCTGCTTAAATGGAACCCAGGATGGTGAGAGCACTTGCTGGCCGCGCGTGCTTTGTTCCAGGTTTTCAGGCTTGGGCAAAGGCGACTGGAGAATGAGGATGACTCGGAAGCGATTGCATCCGGCTGAGTTTTAAAATCTGAAGAAGTCGCAGATCAGCCATTTTACCCTTTGCAGTTCTCAGTATCAGCCCCTGTCCTCTGCGCAGGGCTCGGGAACTCGCGGGGATGTTCTGGCAAAGCTTCTGGGCAGAATGATCCGAGCCCAGTGGTCCGGCAAGTGCGAGGTCGCCCGAGGCCGGCGGCCGGGTCCCTGCGCTGAGGCAGCATCCTGCATGCTCCCAGCCGCCACCATTTCCGGCCTCCAGGCTGGCAGATGTTTCCTGCCTTGATGTTCTCAGCTCCTATTCCATAGATATCAATTTGGGGAAGGTTTGCAGGTGGCTCACCTCCCACTTTAACTCCCATGTAACAGACAGAGCGGAAAATCACCAGAGGAAATGCCCAAATCAGTAGTCCCGCAGCGGGTTACCATCCCACCCACCTCCCCCTGAGAAGCCTGTCATGTATTCTGAGCTTTAGCGTTGTAACACCGGGGACATTAGCAGGCCAGGTCACAACTCCTGTCCATGGATAAGTGGAAATAAATAAATAAATAGTAGCTTAGGGTAATGTGATTGTAGTCATTTACTTGACCAGAATTCTAGCTTTTCTGAAGGATCAACTTAAGAAGATAGTTCTCCTAAAATGTTAATATTAAAGAAAGGCACATAGCGATAGAAACAGAAACGACAGAGAAATAGAGTTCCGGATAGAAATGATAGAAGAAGGATTTGCTCATAGCAGGGACGCCAGGTAGCTCAGTGGATAAAAGCGGTTTTGTATTTTTTTTTCATTAAGCCTGAGAACCTGAGTTTACTCCCTCGGCACCTGACACCAGAGGAGACAAATGACACCTGAAAGTTGTCTTCTGATCTCAACATGCCCCCCTCCAAATAAATAAGTGAATAAATAATTAAAATGTAGTAGAATATCATAGAAGGGTATCACAATTTAATACATGTTATTACATAGCAATTGCAAAGAAACTGTTTAAGCAAATGTCGAAGGGGTCCATATTTGACCGATGGATCTACTGAATCAGGTTGTTTGTGTTTTATCAAGAAGTGTGTGTTTTTTATGAGTTGCAGTTTTGACATGCCCGTGTGTTGAGCATTTTAACACAGCATCATGACACATCCTATTGCAAAGCAGGTGTGTACATAGATTCTGAGATACTGACAAGACATTGTGAAAATAGTTAATAATCAGAAAGCTGAATATTGGTAAAATCAAGAGGCAAACTTATTGGGAAAATAACAGATACATCCACAAACTAAATTAATGTTTCTCAATTCCAACAGGTGTTAAGCCACTCTCCTGGGGTTCTTTAAGGGTCAGAGATTGTAGTTTGTGTGGTGTGTACCTCAGGTCCAATGTTGTTAAGTGGGTTTATTTCTAGAATGAATTGAATTGAAATAAGATGTGATAAGAGTACATACACATGGAACAAATGCACGATTTTCATTTAACTACTGAATTTCATATATCTGACCATATAGTTCTGAGAATCCAGTATACTCAAGTCTTATTTTTTCTATATATTTCTTCTTTTTCTTAAAAAAAAATAAAACGAAGCAACAATTTTAAAATGTCCTTTCCCAGATCATAAGACTTCCCTACAGACAGATCGTTATACCAGGCACCAAAACAACATGGAGGATCAAGTAGAAAGACAGCACTGGGAGGATCTAGAACCTTGACTTTTGTGACCCCCGTGCTGCGAGCTTCCTGACTGCTACATACAACTCGTATGGCACAATTACAGAAACCAAGTTCTGTAGACAGAATTTTCTAGAATCCGCATTGACAAGTGGAGCAAACAAAGTCAATTTACATATTTTAAAATTCATTTTATCCCTTTAAAAATTTCAAAACCTGCAATATTTTCAACATTTTTCTTTTTCTTCCTTTATTTTCTTCCCCCCCTTTTTTTGTTAAAGACAACAGAAATTGTAAAACTAACCCTTTAAAGGGAAAGGAGATAGGAGGAGTATGTATGAAGTGCAAGCACACAACCATGACTTCCACGGTTAAATAAATAGGAATCTCTGCTGTCGGATGTATGAGGCTCAACATGATCATGAAAATTCTGCTCTGGATTTTACTCCAATACAGACTGTTTGCTGGCGTGCTGTATTTAATCAGGTTCCTTCATAGGAAGGATGCAACAGCTTTAGGGACATGGACAAATAAGATCAAAATGTCTTGTCCCCATTTTCTCCAGAACCCTAAGGAGGTCTCTAATGCCAATGTGTTACATGTATCATGCATTGCTGCTTCTGCACTACCTTATTCTTTATCTTAGTCAATGCAAAAAGAATAACCAACACCATTGAATGCATTTGTCAAGAAAGCAAAATGTTAGCATTTAGTGGTGCCGTTTTGATGGAGAAAAGGATCTGCTTAGCAACTGAACTGTGTGAGGTGGGTGGACGTAGGAATGTTGAGGCTGACATGGTGTTAAAGATCTAAGTCTTCAGGATGGTTTGAGTTAAAGGAAAGGAAGTCATCTTATTCTGATCAGGAATAGCTCTGCTGCACTCAGCTCCCACACCTTTCAGTCACAGAAGGATAGTGGAAGTACCTGTTTGTTCCCATTGGTTTCCATGGATACCAGAGGAGATCAAGACAGATTCCCAGTAGCTGTGGGTGTTTTTTTTCGTTTTCTTTCCTTCTTTCCTCCTTCCCTCCATCCTTGCCTCCTCCTCCTCCTCCCTCCTTCCCTTCCACTTCCCTTCCTCTCCCTCTCTGTCACTTTCTTTCTTTTTCACACCCTTCCTTTCTTTTCCCCACACCCTTCCTTTCTTTTCCCCGTTTCTTTCCTTTCCTTTTGTCTAGAAGTGGTACTAAGATAATCTTTCAAATGAATGTTTAAACAGGCCTTTGCTATAAGAAAATGCAAAGGTGAAAAGAGGAGAGAAAATTGAGATTATCATCTGAGCAGGGGTTGGAAGGAGTGAGGTCCCTCCAAAGTCATTCATTCATTCATTCATTCATTCATTCATCCAGCACCATGTCCCCAGTGCCTTTCAGTGGTCAGAAAACGTGTTCCAAATTGCAGTTGTTTTCTGATCATTGATGTCAGTGGTCTTTGTAAAGGTTTTGAAGCCTTGGAAATGCTATGCTTTTTTTAGGGAGCAGCCTCTGAAGTCTTGTCAGAGTGGATCAGTGTGTGCATGGAAAGGGACTCTAGCAATTCGCCACAAACAATTCATCTTGATATTAGAAAATCTCGATGTAGAGGAAATAATAAGTTGATTTTGTTACTTCTATAGCTAACAAAAACAACAGGGATTTTTAGGGAAGAATTAGATATTATGAGTTTAGTAAAATTTAGCTAAATTTAATGTGGCAATAATTAGAAAAACATTAAAAGAGAAACTTTCTAAATAGGTTATACACATGACTATCTTATCTCCCAGGGTTTGGGGATTAAAGAGTAAATATTAAATTAACACATAATAATCTGTTTTTATTTATCTTAATGAATGATTATGGTAAATAAGCATTTGTATAGCTGCAATAATTTAAGAATTTTATATTTTAACTATAAAGCAGCATACATTTTTTAAAAAATTAAAAATCACCTTTAAAGAAATAGCAATTGAAATTTTACTTTTTCTCTAAGCCAGCAGATGGAGATGTTGGAGAAAAAATTGTTCTCCACAGACCTGCTGCACACACTGAGTACCTTCCAAGACCCCAGAGATGAATCTACTTAGAGAAACAGAAAAGGATGTAAACAAAATATAAATGGGAATAACTAACGGAAATGCTGTGCTCGGAAACAGCATTCGGTGCCTGCTTTAAGAAATAGATTGCTTTGGAGCTTATTTTTCAAAAAGAAAATTCTTTATATTTTGTAAACTTGATTCACAAAGACACTTAGGAATTGCCTGAATTAGAAAATCTCTTAAAAGAAAGAACTCTAAAATCATTTTACATGCACCTACACACATGTGTGCATGCATATGTGTGTGCGTGTGTGTGTGTGTGTGTGTGTGTGTGTGTGTGTGTTAGATTTTAAGCCTTAATTTTACAAGAAATTGGTTCTGAGGTGTCTTTTCTATCACCGGATTTTAGTCCTGCATT